AGGTGAGAGTGAGCTGCGGCCCGGCCGGGAAAGGTGGGTGCTGGCAGCCTTGCCCGCCCTGCGCCCTCCCCTCCGCGGCCCCGGGGAAGTGCCTGAAGCGGGTGTTGCACTCGCCCAGGAAGCGCAGGGGTTGAAGCTGACAGCTGCTGGAACGTCTCACCAACGCTTTTCCCTCTGCGCCGGTTCTCTGTAGTTATCTCTGCTGCAAGTCTTACTAGTTCCTGGGGCTTTCTTCGCAATCTTAAAAGCAGGTCAGAGCTCATAACTTTAGAACACAAGGGTGCCTTGCTCTTACAAACCAGGTTAGGACAGCACAAAAAGGTTTGTTCACCTTGTGCAGTTCTTTGCTGGGATCCAAGTGACAACACTGTGTGGTGGCCTTACTTCTGTCAGAATTTGTTCTCGCTCCCGTCTTGCAGAAAGGTACGTTGTAACAGGTGCATGACAGAGCCTGCCACAGACTACATTAGCTGACTTTCCACACCGTCTTCTGTTTTTTCCCAATTGTCTGATTTCTTTAACCGAATACCTTATCCTGCTAAGGGTTTGATGTATCATGATGCCATCTCCCACTCTAAAGTCTCCTGAAAACTTGGTTCGCTCCACTTGTGATTATGTGATTCAGAACTCAGCATAGCTGGTGTTTGTTCCTGTTTTCTGCCATCCCTCCACTTCGTGCTTCCAGCTGGAGTAGTTCCAACGTCCTGGATTTCTTGCGCTCTGTGGAGAAACGGAGAGAGAGGAATTGTGATGTGTGGATGTGGAAACATTTGCTTTTGAGGGGATGACCGGATATTTTACAATGTGGTACTGTATTATAACAAATGTTATGAAGATGTCTTATAAGATAGTAAAGAACATAAATCAGTCTTCAGTATCTGTTGAGCCACCTGTTTGTGCCTTAATGAGCTGGACAGGATTTTAATACAGGATGCCAATATTGATCTGTGCTGTGTCTTGGACGTGGCTGATGTGGACGAGGGCCCAGGAGGACGCAGAGGGCTGTGTCACTGCTTCTTGACAGCCAGGAACCTGAGCAAAACTCTGATGAAGAGAGAGGAATACTTTTCTCCCACAACCTCCATTTGTGTTGTCATCCTGTCTCCCATTCCTAGATACCTGCAGGCACTATGGAGGCAATAGGTAAGCATTTTTTTGACCTTTATTGCAAGTTACTTTTCCATATGGCAGTGTACACCTGCTGTCTTTTCCCTAGACCTTTCGTTCGTCCACATCTTGTCTGAGAGCTAAAACTATGAGCTCTGCCCTGTCTCTCCAAGTTAGTCTCCCGATATGTGCTCAAAACAGCAATCCCATGTGGTAAGAATGCAGCAGCTAACCTGACACACTCCCCTACCCCCCTGTCTTTTCTGTCTTCCCAGTTGAATTGCTGCCCTCTAATTCCTACTTAAAGTGGTGATTTCCACTGGAGTCAATTTGTTTACTAGTTGCTACTTTTGTCCTGGCCTGACCCACCCTCTCACTGTGTTACACACTTTTCTCCCAGTCCTCCCCCCATGTGTTCGTTGTAAGGTGTGCTCTTTTTAGAGAGGAGCACTTTGGATTCAGTTATCGAGTGCACCTTGTCAGCTGGTCGCACAAACGGTTCCATTCATCAGCACAAATTCATTATCGCGTCGATCTTAGTGGGTGTTTGTTTTCCCTTCAGGACTAACACACTGCAGTAGTAATCATCTTTCGGGTCCAAACCATATCACACAAGGCTATTAGTGAAGCTGATACTTACGTTAGATCTACATTGACAACAGAACATTAGTGGCACTTGAACTATGTATGTCCACAGGAAATGGAAAGCAAAATACGACATTACAGGAGGTGCCTTTCCCCTGACTTCCTAATGGCTGGTGGTGGCCTTCCAGCCATGCAAAATGTCAGGCTGCGATATTCTAATAAAGAGCAGAACTATGTACTGCATAGTATTTGGTTCGCCCTTAATCGTTGTTGTTTATCTGCCTCGTAGATATGGGATGCTTCTTTTGTAAAGACTGCCTGTAGTAGTGCTGATAGAACCGTAGCTCAATCTCACCTGTGTCTTGACATTGCTGTTAATCAATACTATGGCCTTTTCCTTGCTGTTGGGCAGTACAGAGTGGCACAGTCCAACTTGTCCCCCTGGAGTAAGCTCATACAGCTGCAGCTATTACCCACATCTGGTGTATGTTAATCCTGAAACTGATCAGAGGAAAGGTGGGAAAAACCACCTCTCCCCGGAGATTGGGAAGGGTCTTTAGAGATAGCAGCTCAAAACTTGTGAGATATATTTCATTGTTCTGTCATGAGAATAAAACAATAACTGGTTGTTACTTTTTGCCCTATAGGAAATCTGAGATTGCTCAACCTACGTGGCTCCTACTGTTAACTGCTCAGTGCCTGGCAAAGAGGAAAGAACAAAAGTGTAAACGTTTGACTTTGTGAAAACCTCTGAAAAACACGAATACATATGGAAAGGATTGCTCAAATGTGAAAAACAAAAAAACCGGAGAGGCTGAGGTGGAAGGCCTCTCTCTGACCATGGAGATGGCAAAGAACAGGCTCCCTCTGTCCAGGAAGAGATCTTCAAAACAGCAAGTAAAGTCTTGCGGTGACCTAGGAAACTGCAGAACTGGCTGGCGTCTGCGGGCTGCAGAAGCAGCTGTTGGACATACTGAACGGCATTGGAAGGTGTGATCCATGAAAGCTGCTCCTTGTTCTGCACATTCTTCTCTTGATGTCCCACTAGATCACATCAACTGTAAGCTTCATCGGCCCCAGGGTGGGCTTTGGAGGTAGTCTGCCACTGAAACACCCTTCAGCAGCCCCTTTGGCAGTGAAAGCAGCAGGACGAGGGAACAGTGTTTTGAGCCCATGTGTACCATGATGTTTGACCCCCCTGCCCTCCTGCCTGGCACTGTGAAGAAAGGCTATAGTCTGCTGCTCAGCTGAAGTGTCCCCTGGTGCTTTTGACAACACCCTGCCCACTCACATGCTGAAACATTTGAGCTAGTAGAAAAATGAAGGTGGTGAGGAGGCTTGAAGAAACTGAAGTTAGTGTGCCTCTACACTGGTGGCCCCTGTTATTTTATTGATCTTTCTGTGCATGGCACCCTATTTAATACGTCTTCCTGAGTCCCTGACCTGTGCTGGTTCACTAGTCTAAACAGTGAGCGTGTCTGCTGTGCTTCCAGGAGTTCCTGAAAGTGCTTGCTGGGCAAGACAAGCCCTACACATAACATGCAGCCTTCCACTCCTGTCCTGACCAAGCCTCTGAACAGTTGCTGATTTCCCTCTCAATACCTTTACATCTGGTGGTCTCCTTTGAGAAGAAAACAAACCCAAAAGAACAACTAATAAATGCAAAACTCAGTCTTTTGTAGGATTAAATAGAAAGGTTATGTGGCCTTCCAGATCAGAGTACTTTGCTACCTTTTGCAGACCATGCCAAGCAGTTAAAAGGCTTAGGTAGGGTATGTGTCTAAAAGAGGCATGTGATGGCAATTGTCTCCTGTAGCTGTCTGGCCCTTGCGGGCACATACATGCTCTGCGTGTATACACGTTGTGTTAGCTGTGCTAGCAAGTCAGGCTGTGTCAGTAGGGAATGCTGGGCAGGCTTGAAGTTGAAATCATTGTGAAGTGCTGTAAACCGTATGTTTTAGGCAAATATAGCACAGATTTCAGACTGGCCTTAGTGCATAGTGAAGGGAAGTGCATCTTTCTGGGGATGATTTTGGAATGTGTATGTACAGAGAGGTGGTGGAAGTACAGATTTCATTGAGTGTTGTAGAGTGGCATGGATGTGCCTGCCTGTAGGGCTATCAGTAGGTGATGGCCTTCACAGCTCTTACTAAAAGTGACTTTAACAGAGATGCACATCTCAGTCGCAGCAGCTATTGAGCCACCATACCACGTTGCTCAGCCACCAACGTATTTGTAACCACAGAGGCAACCAGAGAGCAGGTAGCCGTTCAGTCCTGAATGGGTGATGAAGGTCTCCTTGGTCTGCCAGTGTCATGCCACCATTGTGGCCACTCTGTGCAAGTGTCTTCAGCTGTACTGTATGAATGACATGGGTTTATGCCTGAAATGGTGCTACACCATTCTGTTCTAAGAAAAACCCTACCTGAAGAACTGCCTTGCCTTCATTTTCCTCTTTGTTCCTGTCCATTTTTCTGTTCTCTAGATGCCCCTGCAGGGAAGGGCAAAGGAAGCTGTGGCTGTTGCAATAACTGCAGTCAAAGCTTGTTGGTAACACAGCTGCTGGCTTGCAAAACTGCAGCTCTGCACTGGTGAAACATCTGAATATGGTCGTACAAAGTGGTTGTCAGTGTTGTAGTGTAAACGACCTAAAGTTTTGTTAGGAGTTTGATAATAATCCTTATTCTTCTTGTCTCATTCCCCTCTGCCCCCTCGGAAAACAAAAGGAGAGATGAAGTATCTGAAAGACTTAAGAGATGCTCTAGGTTTTGATGCCTAGGTGTGCTCTGCAGTGAGGTCTGCCTGGCTTCCTCTGGTTGTCTCATCATGCTTTCTTTGGGGGAGCAGCAGCACTCCGTGCAGCAGAGACTGTGGAGTACCCAGCTGAGGAATTTCTTTGGAGGAAACCTCTCCTCCACTTTCTGTTTTCCTTGTGTGAAAACATGCATTACACAGAATTGGGATGTTCACTTAAATGTGGCTTTTAAACATTGGTTACTTCAAAATTAGATGCTTGGTATTCTTGTTTGCTTTGAAGTAAATCTTCCAGTGTAAATTAACTCTGAGCTCAGACAAAAAGCCTTGTGTAGTGTCATAGGGAAATAGCTGTCAGCAAAGCTGGTTTTAAAAAAAACCAAAACAAAAACAAACCACCAGAAAGCAGTCCTTGAGAAAGAGCTCTCCTTTTTCAATAAACGGCATTGATTAATTGTCCTTATAACTGAAGCTGGTTGTGAAATTGTTTGCTTGACATCTGCAAATTGGATATTTATTATTTTTTCCAGCTGGTGATGGTGAGTCCAACTTCAGAGCAGTATGACAGTTTGCTCCGGCAGATGTCAGAGAGAATTGATGAGGGATGTGGGGAGACCATCTATGTCATTGGTCAAGGATCAGGTGAGTATAGCTTCCTCAGGAAAACAACAAAAACATTAAAATTATTAGAAAAACCTAGTTCATCTAACTGGACTGCTGCTGAAGGTAGTGCTTACTTCTCCAGAATAACTTGGAAACCTCCATAAAATATTGCAGAGCATGTGGGACAGATTCTTTTATTTTATTCCTGCCAGCAACTGTCTTTTGTGTTGGAGCTAAACATATTTTTTGCATAAAATCATACAAGTTCTTTTTGGAAATAAGGCATAAGTTGTCTGGGCGCACCAGGAAAAGAGGAAGGATCTGGAGTTATAGTAACAGTTTTATTACCGACATCCTCAATATCTGTTGGAGGTCTTGTTCGGTCTGGTTTTGTTTGCTTCTGCATTGTAAATAACAATATTTTTACCCCACAGGAATGTATTTGAGATACTTCACATAGCTAAAAAATATGCTGCTAACTCTCTTTGTTAGTGATGTCTGTACTATGGAGAGAAAGGTTTTCCTTTTCTCGGCGTCAGGCCTTATTGTCACATTAACTCGGGTGTGTCTGTAGTCATTTGCTTTTGCAGATTTTAGCGGTTAGCACAGATTGCCCTTTTGTTCTTTTCCACAATTTCAGTATTTGCGTCTGATGCTGGTAAAATAATATTGAACACAGCCTTGCTTTGAAATTGAAATTTATTTTCTGAATGGGAAAAAAGAAGTATATGGCTATCATAACGCTAAAGGCATGTTTCAGCTATATTAGATATTTGCTGGATACCAAGTTGTTGTGATCAGATATGCTACTAGTTACTATGTTTGAGGAAGAATATAAAACCCTGGTCATCAGTGCCAGGGTTGGCTGAGGTAATGGAGGGAGAGAGTTGTGTTACCTCAGAACTGTGTGCTTTTTGGATTTTCATGGTGTCTTGAGAAGCTGCCAACATAGAAGAGAAGCCAGGGTTAGATGGCCAGTGGTCATGCAGCCAGTATCACAGGGATGGTGCCCTTGCCTCCAAGCAAGCTGCCCTTGTAGTGTAGTCTGAATCCTTGGTGTTTGGGATAACCACAGGAGATCTGGCTACTCAGGCTAGTAACTGCTTTCTCTTCTAGGATACCTTGTGAGGGTGTTAACTGGTCTTTGTTGCAATGACATACTTAGAAGCAGGTATTTGTTTCTTAAAATGTGAGCTAAAACTTGGGACTTCATTTTGGATAACTGCATAGTCAGGGAAGACGGGGATCTTTTCTGTAAATTGGAAACAACAGCCAACAGAAAAAAATCTTTATATCCCTGCCACCATCCCTCCTTCTCATTCACTTTGAGTGTCTATGATTTTGATACCCAACCTGGATGACTGAGAAGGAGTGAAGACTGCCAGGAAGCTCACTGCTTCATCAGTAGTGACCCTTCCCCTTTCTCCCTTGGCTTTTACCCTCTCCTGTCCCCTGCCTCTCATTCCCCTTCTATGACCCAAGACCACAGACATGGTGCTTTTCTTTTTCCCCAACAGCTTCTCAGCCATCTTATGAGCTAGGGTGGAAATCACCCAGCAACTCTACTTGTTGTGGAGCTATGCAATAGTTAAAATGCAGATTAGTTCATGCAAACTGGAATTACTGCTTACCAGCTGATGAGTCAGCTGTGCATATGAATACACACACAGCAATAGCTTTGGTCATCCAGGTGCTGTGTGGCTCTACACCTTTGTTGGGGTTTTTTTACCCACAGAGCTGATTCTGGCCTGAAGTCTCTGCAGCTTCTCAGCACCTGGTTAGGAGAGCAGCTGAGAGCTGTGGTGGCCTTTAAACCATCTAGATGATTGCCACTGGCTTGCTCTGACTGTCAGGTCTTTCCTTGAGTGGGCTGTTCAGAGGCAGCAGTGCCTCCTTGGTCTTCTCTGGCCTCATGTGCTGTCAGCATTTCTTTCAAGTGCCAGGACAAAGGCAGTGAAACATGCCAAGAACTTTGTTTTAACTGGAGTCCATGTGGGCTAAGGAAATCGCTGGGCAGGCCAGAATTGCAGAAGAAGTGCACTTGGGATGTGGTTTTATAAGCTGATTGTTTAAATTGGTCACACATTCACTGGTTAACTGTGGTGATATTTCAGTCAGAGCTTTCCTTTTGTAAATGCTTTTCCCTTTATTGACATGAGAGAGGAGATGTTTTATCTGACTGAAGGAAATTGCACACAAAGTAGTTTCAGCATGTGAAGTAAGGGAATTAGACAGAAATGTGTCTTTCTTATCAATCCCAAAGTATTTTCTTGTAGAAATTGTGAAGAAAACTCCTCTAGATGAGAGGTGGTGCTTTTCTGGTATCTTTTAAGACTTAGAGTGAAGACCATCCTTTTTTGTTTTGGGCAAAGGGTGCTTATTCTGTCTACATCTGACATCTCCAGTCCATATGTAAATCCCGATCCGTGTGGAAGTCCCAGGCAGAATGACATTGCTGCTGGCCGTTGCAAGGTGGTGCTAACTGACTGTCCTTTGTCTCCTCAACATCGTACTAGATGGGACTGAATATGGTCTGAGCGAGGCAGACATGGAAGCATCCTATGCCACGTTGAAGAGCATGGCAGAGCAGATCGAGGCAGATGTGATCCTCCTGCGGGAGCACCAGGAGGCAGGGGGCAAGGTGCGCGACTACCTTGTTCGGAAACGTGTGGGTGACAACGACTTCCTGGAGGTCAGGTGAGGAGCTGGGTGGAGACAGGGTTAGACAGCAGCCCAGCTGCATTTTTACCCTGTGAGCAGTCGGTGATGCTGAGCCAGCAGTGCTGATTCGAGACTGGGTGTTGTAGCTACCCAACAAAGGGAATTGAGCTTGACCACTCCTTGCTAACCAAAACACCTTTTTGTTGTTGCTATCTCTTTTGTGAACAAACTGTTTGTGGAGATTTGCCTGTGTTTAGCTGAGGGCTATTGCTCTCTGGGTGACAGCTTCACAGTTTGGGGATCTTTTGTGTGCAGGAGTCCCAGTAGGGAGTCACATGTGTCTATATGTGTGTGCATACAGGCACGCTACTGGAGTACAATGCTTTTGATAAAGGGTTCAATTCTATTCCAAGGCTGTGATGATCCAAGTCACCTTTTAATGGACATGTAATGGCTTGTGTAACGTGACATGAGGGTCTGCCCAGACCTGGATGGAATGGATTTCCAACATGTGCTAACAGCCATAACAGCCACCTTTATCAGAGACAACGGGGTAGATTGCTGTAGGAGAGGTTTTACTCTGAAACATTTAATTGTTGTTTGAGCTTTTCCTTTACTGGGATCAGCAATTTAAATTTCTGTTCTCTCCTTAGGACCTGGTGCTATTGCAACATGAGGAATATGAGAAAGGCAGAGGTATTCTAGACCCAAGTTAGGATTTAGTCTTTCTTTTGAATTGCCACAGTGTTTATGTTGGATTGCAGAGACTAGGAGTTGGAAGAGAGATGTTTCTGTATGGCATCAAGCAGTGTTGGGTTCAGCTGACTGTGTTCTGGACACCAGTGACATGTTTCCACAGTTTTCCCCATCCTAGTCCCCAAGGTCTGGGGACTCTGCTGTTAACTAGTAACTGTGAAAGAATCTCTGCTCTGCTTATGGAAGTCTAACATTTTTGAATCTCTGTTTGAAGGCTAGGGAGAAAAAGCTAGTTATTTGCAGGAGCAGTGGTGTTTGGGTTGGTTTTGGTTGCTTGCTTGTTTTTCAGGAATGAGATTTTACCAGGTTCCTTTTTCCTTTCCTCTCCAGGGTAGCAGTGGTTGGCAACGTGGATGCAGGAAAGAGCACATTGCTAGGTGTCTTGACACATGGCGAGCTAGACAATGGCCGAGGCTTTGCTCGGCAAAAGCTCTTCCGCCATAAGCATGAGATTGAGTCAGGCCGCACCAGCAGCGTGGGCAATGACATTCTGGGCTTCGACAGTGAGGGCAACGTGGTGAACAAGCCTGACAGCCATGGTGGCAGCTTGGAATGGACAAAGATCTGTGAGAAATCCACCAAGGTCATTACTTTCATTGACCTTGCTGGTCATGAAAAGTACCTGAAAACCACCGTCTTTGGCATGACCGGCCATTTACCTGACTTCTGCATGCTTATGGTAGGTTGCAAGAAAGATGTACGGTACGAGCAGGAGCAGGGCTGTTCACAGCTGTAACAGCCTCAAGTTTTTCCTATTGCAAAGTCCCTGTGGGGTTGTGGAGGGAGGCAGCATCTGCCAGAGGTGGAAAGCAGAAGCTGCTGTGCATATCTAGCCAGGACTCTGAGGCAAGTGCCCCAGGACTGTCAGTCCCAGACAGGCCAAAGATGTCTGGTTCTTGAGAACGGAAAGATTTCTAAATTCCAGAAAACCTTTTTAAAACTGGGGATAAATGAGTCCTTAGCCAATGTCCAACAGCATTTGAAATGAGCTGGGTCTGCTCGTACAGTCCCAATGACGTGTCTACAACCTAATCACAGCCTACTTCATGTCTTCTCTGTAACCCAGCTCACTGCAGGAGGAACATTTGCGTTACTGTGTCTTGTATCCCTGATGTAGGTTGGCAGTAATGCTGGGATTGTTGGAATGACCAAGGAGCACTTGGGCCTGGCGCTTGCACTGAACGTTCCCGTCTTTGTTGTGGTGACCAAGATCGACATGTGCCCTGCCAACATCCTGCAAGGTGAGTCCTACAAGTGCTCTCCAAGGCTGTTTCTTACCTCTGGGCTGTTGGCTTCTACTTGGGTTGAGGAATTACTGCTGGAAGAAAGATGCTTTATCTGGTTTTGACTGCATCTTAAACACCTTCCAGAAATTCGTCCTTTTCCCCTGCCCATTTTGCAGGCAGTTCACTCATAGTCACCATTTCAAAATTACCCAAGTTGGGGGACTCAGCGGGGCAACCCAAAAGTGTTTGCTACAGGGTTTTGCTTAATTGATCTCTAAGGGGAGAAACATACAGTTGGGGTTGTGGCTTTGCTTTGTGTATTTAAACCTGGAGGAAGAGTCTGGAAGTTCTCTTGAACGCTGCTCTCCTCCTTGCCCACAGTTTGAGTGTGATCTTAAGCTGTCATCAAACTTGTTCTCCAGCAGCCGTTAGGTGAAGGGACAGCTGCTTGTTCCATCCTGCTCACCTGGCTACTTCTCAGATACACTGGCATAGCTGCAGCAGCTCCTTCTGCTGTCTGAACAACCAACCAACACTTAATAAATCATGGTTCAAAGCAGCTGTGTATGTGGGCTACGGTAGTAGGACTAGACTAGACACAAGTGAGGGTGGCAATGAGCAGTAGGGACTAGTGATTTTTTTTTTGCTCAGAAGCAGTTAAAGCAGCACATCTAAACCCCAGTGGTGTCCCATTAACCTGTGCTTGACGTTTTTTCAGACAGTGACCAACTCTTACCTTTAAAATTCTCTTGATACATTTCTCACGCCTTCAGGAACGTGCTGTGGTTAATTGGAGCTATGCTTTTTTTTTGATAAGCAGTCCTGACAATCAGGAAAGTCAGTGCTCCCAGTACTGTCTGTGGTTGGTTCGTTATTGTAAAAATCCTAAACGTGTTTCAGGTAAACAGACACATGTGATCAAAAGATAATCTAAATATCTCTATAATAGATGTTTGGCAAATAAATGTAAGGCCTGACCATAAGATAATAGCTGGGGAGGAAGGAAAATGTTTGGCTCAGGGTGAGGGGAAAAGAGCTGCTCTTGGGAGAAGCCACTCCCCATGTCATGTTCTGTTTAAATTAAATAGACACAAGATTTGGCTCAAGTATATCTGTGAAGAGCAGATGGCATGATTAGATGTTTTGTGCTTCAGTATCCAAAACATTGCTTTCCCATAGGCGATCATTTGTTCACAAAAAACGTCTAATTGGATGACAATCATAGAATAGAAATAATTTGCTCTTTTAAGCCCTTGCTAGCTTTTTTTTTTTTTTTTGTCATTTTTTGTAAGGCACTTTGCAGGAGTGCAGGAAGCTGATGCTGGTGCATCAGGTAGTGCCCCTGCTGGCTGATAGATATGAGACTTAGAAAAAAAATTGAAAAGAGGCAGGGGATCAAAGCTGGAAGCAATGAGATTTGTTCTAAAATATTTATTTCTGAATCTTGTCCTCCTGTGCTGTCCTAGTCTGTGTTGGTGATCTTTACCTCTTTCATGCTTCTCTAACGTTCTAGGGCAGGTTGATTGCAAGGCAGAGTATGTTGAGGTTTGTTTGGTCAAAATAGATTTCTAATACACATACTCTCAAATGTGTCAGTTCCTGAGTGCTGCTGGTTTTCACTGAATTCAGTATGAAAAAACGTTTATAGTATTAGGAAATACCTTGTAACTGCTTAAAGCTACTTAAGACAGCTATAAAATGTCTACTTCACAGCATTGCACTTGCAGATGCAAATGTGTACGTCTGTTCATGTGTGGTGTTGCTTGGCAGCAAGCTAGCTGGCATGAAATGGAAGATGGAATGGCTCCTAAGTCCCATGTGGGCTGCAGCAAACTCATAGCCTCACTCACGCACCTTTAGCCATCTTCTCCTGTCTATTTGTGACAAGAGCACCAGTCTCCCTTTGGGGAGAGATCCCACAAAAGCGATTTGTAAAGACGGGAGATGCTGCCCTAACAATATTCATTTCACCCTTTAAGAAACCCTGAAGCTGTTACAGCGACTGCTGAAGTCCCCAGGGTGCAGGAAGATTCCCGTGCTGGTTCAGAGCAAGGATGATGTCATTGTAACAGCCTCCAACTTCAGCTCAGAGAGGTAATGGGAGTACAGGAGAGTCATTTCTCTTTCAATCCTATTTGGAGACTGGGTGAGAAGATTCAGAAAGAGAGTCCCATTGTCTAGATGTGTGAAGGTTGCATCTTCCATGTGGTGTGTTGGTTCCATAAGAATGTGTTGATTTTGAGATTGACCTGCTTGTGTTCCCCTCTCTGAGACAGAAATGAGGGGCTGCATCTGGGCAGTCTGCCAAAGATGGCAGGGTATTTGGCTTCCTTCAGCCCTGGAACCTTACACTTGTTCCTGAATGTCATTAGAAGGCAGAGGCAGTGTTGCAGGTTTTCAAACATGGGGTGTTGTGCATCTGACTGCTTGCCAGGCTCTCCCTTCCTAGCACTGTGTATTGAATTCAGTCCCAAGATTTTGGATGTCTCCATACACATGGAATTCTAGGCAGGGAGGTGAACTAACTCAATTTTCATCAATTTTCCTTTGCAGGATGTGCCCAATTTTCCAGATATCGAATGTCACTGGGGAGAACCTGGATTTGCTGAAGATGTTTCTTAATCTCTTGTCTCCACGGACCAGTTACAGAGAAGAAGAGCCAGCAGAATTCCAGATAGATGATACTTACTCTGTCCCGGTAAGGGGCCTCGTATTTGGAAGAATTTTCTGCTTCCTCTTTCAGGTTGAAGAAGGCATCTTCCCTAGAAAGGGGAGTTCTAGAGCTCTTCTGTTAGCATGGTCGAATAACCCCAATTACTGTTTTTTCTTTTTTGGCATAGGGTGTAGGAACAGTTGTATCTGGGACGACACTGAGAGGCCTAATCAAGCTAAATGACACCCTGCTGCTGGGGCCAGATCCCCTTGGCAACTTCCTACCTATTGCTGTCAAGTCCATCCACCGCAAGAGAATGCCCGTCAAAGAAGTGCGGGGAGGCCAGACTGCCTCCTTTGCTTTGAAAAAGGTGAGATGATCTGCTCTAGACCCCCAAAACAGAAACCACCCTCCTAATTTTAGAGTGCACTTGGAGTTCAGCTGCCTCATTTCACAGCACATTAAAATACCATAGAACCTCTCTGGGTACCATGTCCTGGTTACTTCACCTGACAGCTGCCAGCTGATAGCAGTGGGACCCGAAGTAATGAGGAATAGTGGGGGAGATGTGTAACAAAGTGGAGGCATTGCAAGAAGTCTCCTTTTGTGCTGCAACTGCATTAGTGGCCCGGGCAGGGTATTTTACATTATTCCTCCCAACTTGTAGGACCAGTTGTGTGATTTGGCATTTAAAAGTTAAAAATTTTGATGTGATTCCTGTGGTGAAAGATTTCTGTCAATAGAAGCTGCACCAATTTTAAAAGGATATAGTTTAAGCTATACCAAACTTTGTGTGTTCAGGCTTATCATTTTGTGTTAACAGACACCCTGCTTTTGGAGAGATATCTGCTTTGGTAATGTGCAGCCAGGATGTATGTTTTGCTTTTAAAGGATCAATGAGTTAAAACTTATGTGTCAGCGTCCAGGATTCCCAGAACTCTAAAGCTTCCTTAGAAACTTCAGCCGAACTTGATTTTTGCAACCTTTGCATAACATTGCTACGTACTGATAGACAGCTCTTGCTTTGCCTTTCTGTGAGCACAAGTTAATATCTGTGAAATCCCTTAGGATCCTTCTGAATGCAGTCAGCCAGAGAAGCGGATTTCTTCCCTGGAGAATCATCCTAAGGGTTTTTGTGTCCGCTTTTCAGATCAAGCGTTCTTCCATCCGTAAAGGCATGGTAATGGTGTCACCCCGCCTGAATCCACAAGCATCGTGGGAGTTTGAAGCAGAGATTCTGGTGCTTCATCATCCCACCACCATCAGCCCACGGTATCAGGCCATGGGTATGTGTCTCAGTGTTGCCTCATCTTTGTTTTCCAGTGGTATCAGTTTATATTGTCTCTAGCCTGAGATAATTTTGCTCCTGATGGCTCTGTCAACAATTTAAGCCGTAATTCCTGGTTTTATCTTTCCCAGCAATGTGTTAGAGAGGGGAGGGAGTTGACAGAGGAGAGTGGCAAAGGCTGTAGGTGAAAAGGAGATGTGTGACTCCAAGTGTACTTGGAGCCTGCCTGAGCCAGATCTCCATGGTGCAGAGATTCTCCGACTTCAAATGCTGACTGAGAGATTCATTTTAGGTCCTGCCCTCTAGCCTGGCTGCTTGGTGTGTAGGATTCTGTTGAGGATGCTTCAGGAAAGTCTCCGTTCGAAGGCAACTGTGCTAGTTTATATATGTTTTCTTTTTGAGGACTGAACAAAGGCAGCTATGTGACCCATATAGTCTTTGATACACAGTAGATTTTTACATTACAAACTCGTCACTGTTAGCTGTAGGGTAGCAAGAGCTGCCTTAGATGTCTGTCTGAAGCTTATTCCATTAATGGCACTGGTTGTTGAAAGCCTTTGTGCATTACATTCACAGTGCATTGTGGCAGTATACGTCAGACGGCCACGATTCTCAGCATGGACAAGGACTGCCTGCGGACGGGGGACAAAGCCACGGTGCACTTTCGCTTCATCAAAACCCCGGAATATTTGCATATAGATCAGCGGCTGGTCTTCCGGGAAGGCCGCACCAAAGCTGTGGGTACCATCACTAAGGTAAAGGCAGAAGAGTCCAACTTTTTTTGCCCGTTAGCTACTTTGAGTGCTGAGAAGCCAGCAGGAGAATCCGGATAGCTCTGGAAAATTGAGGGAAGAGGTTGTCCTTTGATCACAACCATCAGCCCTGACGTGGGTTGCAGATGACCGATGTGCTTTGTTGTGTGGTGGGTCATAGCTGGTGTGTCATTCACCAGAATGCAAAAGTGGGGGGTGAGCCAAATGCCTCTGGTTCTCAAGGCTTGGTCTCTTTCTGACAGCTTGTAGCTGGTCCCTTTGAGTCATACTGAGGAGTGGTGAGTGTCACCTCAGCTGAGTGGCCCTTTCCACCCTGTGAGGGTTCTTGAGGACAGCTCAGGGCCCTAGGTTTCTTTGAACAACTGCTGCTGCTTTCTTCTCGTGATGGCTATTGGTATCAATTCTCTCAAGGCTTTTTGTTAAAAAGCAGCATTGAACCTTGCTAGATTGGCCTGGCAATTTTAATGCTGATTTTGGCCTCTGACTTTGTAATTTGCAGTTACTCCAGACCACCAATAACTCACCGATGAACTCCAAGCCACAGCAGATCAAGATGCAGTCAACCAAGAAGGGAGCCGTTACGAAACGAGAGGATGGTGTTCCCCCAGCTGGGATGGCAGCTGGGGGCCCACCAGTTGGGGACGAGGCCCCCTCAACAGCCGCAGCGCCACCGACACCTACTGCTCTGCAACCATTGGTAAGTGAGGAATATATCATGTCTGTCCTAGCTGTTTGTATCCTGGTTTCATCTGTTGGAGGAAGGGCACTCTAAAGCACAAGCATTATTCCCTCATACCTTTGAACTCACCTTGGGATTCGATGTACAACAGAAACAAATAGAAATATAAGTAGTCTCACAGCAGAAATCATAATTCTCTGATGACTGCATGACTCCTCACGGCTGACCTTTCAGTGGCTAGCAGCTTAGGGTCCTGGGACAACTCACCGTGGACTTCAGGAGGTGTCTAGTCTAACCTCTACGTTCTAAGTGACTGAGGTCAGACCAGGTTGCTCAGGGTTTTATCCAGTCATGTCTTGAAAACCTCCTGGGAGGAAGACTGCACAACCTCCCTTGGCAACCTGTTTCACCACTTGACTCTGCTGACAGTGAAGAAGCGTTTGCATATACCCAGTAGCTGAACTAGTGAAGCATCTAACAACCAGTCACAGAATGGGTCTCTGCTGTCTGAATGAGAGGTAGAACATCCCTACACTAGAGAAACTACAGCCTAAGTAGTATTAGGCACAGGTCATCTGATCTGTCAAGGAGGGAGGATTGAGACATCCAAGGAAAAGGAAAGCCTGTCTCCTTCTAGAGAAATTTGTCCAAGTTTTCTTGGTTAGGACTTCTCAGCTCAGCTTGTTTGAGAAGGATGCCTAGCCCTTCTGGTCTGAAAGGAATGGAAACTCAGTTCTAACTGTAGGCCTTGGGAGCTATTTATCAGCTTTATTACATGTTCCCATCTCCTTGTCTTGTTGTAGCGTCAATGTGATTGTAAGAAGTGCTCCCAGCTTGCTCTTTGTTTCATTCCTCCCCCTGAGAGTCTGCTTTACTTTTGTTCTTGCTTACCTCTGCCTCTTTCTCCTTGCTGCTTCCCCTCAGCCTGCGCTGGATGAAGAGCCCCACATCCGTGAGGGCAATAAGGTATTTGACTGCTTTAAAAGAGAACGGTGGGCTTGCTGGCCTGAGGCTGGGAACAGTCAGGTTAGCAAGAAAGGCCTGGTTAGGGGGGTGGGGAGCTCTCCTTCCATTCTCCACAAATCCAAGGGAGTCTGAGGCCTCGATTTCCTGGATGCCAAGCCCCATGGCATCTGCTGATTCTCATGGGAGTGAAGCGTTCAGAAAATTGGGAAATCAGGTCCTCTGAGCTTGAAGGGTTGAACTTCATGGTGTATCTGTCTCTCCTCCTTCCTTCATGGTGTGTCTGTCTGCCTTATCTCCTTCCTGCAGTGGTAGGAAGCTGATCAGTTACAACTGCCCTCCTGCTGTCTGGAGGTGTGTGTAATCCATCTGCACTCCTGCTGTGTTGATGTTCTGATTCAGAGGTTGCTGCACACTGAAGTGTATTTTCTTGTTTTTCAGTCAAAAGTCGGAGGAGGAGGCCGGCGACGTGGTGGTCAGCGCCATAAAGTGAAGTCTCAGGGAGCCTGTGTGACTCCTGCCAGTGGCTGCTGAATTTCTTACTCCTCCTCCCTCTGAGGAATTCCTCCCCTTCCCTTCATTTCTTATCCAAAAGATCCAGAGCAGCTTAAACCAAAACCCATCCCAGCTGACTGGCTGCAGAAGAATCGTCCCTCCTCCCCGAAGCAAGGGAGAGGAGCATAATTTATAAGCTAATGAAGGTGATAAGACACACAGAACTGAGCAACTGACACCTTCCTCCTCCCCCTGTTGACACATTTTTGTACACCATGGGTTTAGTTTTTATTCTTACTAGGTTTTATTATATTTTGTGTGCATGAAGATGAGAGTCTGGATAGAACTGAGAAGAGCCAGTTAGCTGCCTCCCTCCTCCCTCACCCCATTTTTCCACAGGACTTGCTGCTCTCCTCCTGTGTGGTGTCTCAGATCCAGGGGTTATCAAATGCCTGAAATTTCAGACTGGCAAAGGTTAAAACACGTTGCTTAGGACAGCTGCGTAGGGCATTGTTTCCTCACCACTGTGGCCCCATGCCAAATATGTTTCTGGATTCCCTCAATCTTAAACTATTTCTAAGTGGGTTTAATTTAATGTTGTAGTGACTGAAGTTTGAAGGAGATGGGAAGAAAATTCATTAGTTGGAGACCTAAGAAGGAAACAAATTGGAAAGCAGTTCTTGATGTTGAGTTGAGGAATCCTATACTAAAAATCCTTCTCAAATACATTGATAGCACTTAAAATTTTAAATCAAGGCAGAATTAAATGGGCAGTCATATGCCCATCCTGTTCCCCTTCCCATCATGCTGCTTTTCCTATTGTTTGTTCAGTGCACATTAGAGCAAATCTTACCTGCCTCTCAAGGCTGTGGCAGCTCTATTGACAGTATTAAGAATATAGTGGAGGAACACTCAGGCCGTCCCTTGAGCCACAGAAAGCCTTGTCACCTTGATGGACAGAGATCACAGGTGAGAATATACCTTTGGAACAGAGACAGTAGGGAAACACGAGCTTCCCTTGATTTTGTTTACTCCAAAATTTCCCAGATTTTTTTGGAACTCACTGGCCAGACTTTGCCATGGCAGAGGTATGATTTGTCTTCTCTCTTGGCCAAAGAGGGCAATGATGAATTGGCACCAAACTTATAGAAGTACTTCCAGGTTTGAAAGTACATGGTAATTTTTCTGACTTTCATTTAATTTTTTTAAGATTGTAATTTTTTTAAAATTATAAATTCTGGTTTCTCCATGAAGTCCCTGCAAGGACAGTCTGTGAATTAACTTCATTGTTATGTTTTTAACCCTGGGTTGTACACGTGATCAATTCCCTGCTTATTTTGATCTCTTTTATAACCCTGCCTCTTTGCGTGGCACCTGTGACGACAGGAGTTATCCTCTGCTGGCTTGCGGTGAGCTGTGGGAGTGTGGTAGCATTTTGAGGGAGGAGGTGACACCCTCAGCAAATTGTTACTCTCCCCAGCTGGTGCAGTCAGCCTCGGGTTTCTTTGAGGGCTTCCTCCTCCAGTGAAGGACTTTTATTTTAATTAGAGGGAGACTGGAAAGTTTTAGTCCCTTCTTAGTGGGTTGTTCCTGTTTCTCACTCTGTGGCAGGTGTGTAGAGTTCATTCCAATTCACCTTGTGATGTGAGGTAGGCTTTCAAGCTGACTGAGCGACAGTAGGCTCAGGAGGAGAGCACATCTCCCGATGCCAGCACCACCTCTTGAAGAACCTTAAGTGGTGTGGGAGAGGTGAGGAATGTGGTTTGGAGATGAGGATGCTTTGCCTTAGCAGCGGCCTGAGTGTGGGTGGAAGCAGGGAGGTCAGACAGTCCTTTCCAAGCTCTGTGCCTAAATACCAGCACTCTCCTGGTGAGGGAGGAACTATAGGTGGCTACAACACTAATAGCACCTGCATTGTGAGGGGGTGTGAAGTGTGGCTAAGCAGGGCATGAAGGCCTGGTTCATTTGTCTTCTGGCCCTGTAGTAGCATCAAACTGCTTCTGATTTCACTGCCCTCTGCTTCTGAGGGAGCAGGGAGTTTCAGGCAGTTTTTCTCCATTCCTTGTGCTCCTAATGAAGGAGACCGCCGAGACTGGAAGAGGGTTTATTTCAGTTTGTGCAAAGGAGGTTGTGTGATCTCTCTTTTGTGACCAGCATTCAAAGATCACTCTGGCTGGTGGGATCTATAAAATAAATTTTAAAAAAGTTTGTTCCAAGTTAAAGTATGTCTTCTTGCTTTTTGTCCCTCTGGAAAACCGGCAGTTGCTGCTTTAATGCCAAAAGCCAGACAAAGTGGGCTGGCCTGGCACCATGCTCTGTTGCTGGCTACAAGAGGAAGCGGCGGGGGGGGGGTAGTGAAGGCAAGGGAGGGCATGCCATGCTGCAGGAGAGCAGTAGAGCCTGTCTCCAGTACATCCCAGCTAAAGAGACACCAGTATGACCCTCCCCAAGCTTGACCCAGTCCAGCTTCCCTTTTGCAGCCTCTTTTGTTTATGTTCTAGGTTAACTTCCTCATGCTGAGGACAATTATTTCCTTTCTACTTGCTCTTAGCTCCCTGCTGAGTAATTTACAGCCTGTAAATTTAAGGAAAATAAAGCAATGTACAGGTACCCTTAATTGTGATTTGTGTCAGGCTGAGCCTCATTTGCCATGGCCATGATAAGGCAGAGGACAGACTGATGCGCAAGGACAGCTGCAAGGTCACTGCAGGATGGACTGAGCACAGAGCCATAGACTACCTCAGACCTAGACTGCTGGAAGTCATCAAAGATGCAGTAGTTTAAGATATTCAAGTTCAAGATATTCAAGTTTTTAAAAGCAGGTCTTTTCATCATTGCTCCAAGCAGCTGCAGCATCCCCAAGCCTGCTCGCTGACACCAGAGTTAGTATGTCAGGCTGGAAAATAAGGATTTGCCAAAAGAATACACAGAAGACAAGCTACAAGAATAGCTCTGTCTGTCTACTAGTTCACCATTCCCATCAGCAAATTCACCTGTAAAACACCCAAAAAGCTCACAGCAGTTTTGATATAATTTATTTGTCTTGGTCTTTTTTTTTCTTGCATAGGCATAAATTACAATCTGTTGATTAAAAAATAAAATGAACAAAACAGTGCAGCATTTGCAACAGGCTACAGCATCAAATACAAACTTGTCTCCTGCCTGTAACCATCTGTTTCTGCAGGGCTAATTCATAACACGTGGGTAGGGCAAACTGAGAAGGAGGGAGAATAGAGGAGGGAAATGGAGTAAATAAGGGAAATCTGCTCTGACAGCTGTTTTGCATTTCTTCTGCCTCACCAAGCTCACCTTCTGCATAAGCACTAGCATTAAACACCCTGGGCCAGCAGTGCACTGTGCTGAAGCAGCAGTTCTATGTGCCCTCTTTTCCTTCGCAGCTCTGGAAAGCGCTACAAAAGTGCTGCAAGCTGCTGCTGGCAAGAGGCAGCTGTCTGGGCACCAGGTAGAGGTGCCGGGGCTGCAGCCCAGCGCGGCTGCAGAATGTGAACTGTGTGTAACCTCAGCGTGCCTTCCTGGGGATCCTTGTACAGGCAGGGGCAGGGTGAGGCCTCTAAAGCCAGCGCCATCCTCTAGAGAAAAGCATAAACCCCCAGGGTGGTCTCCCACTTTTGTCTCCAGTGGGATTTTACCTCAGAGCAGCAGAGACTTTAATCTCCACCAGACAGGGCAAGTTCATCCAGTAAAGCCACATGCTCCCTATCCCATCACTAGTGGTTAACAACACCCCCCCCCCACCCCGGTGTAGCAGAGACCCCTCCAACTCCCTTAGGGAAAGACATCCCCTTTTCCACCTCTCACCAATGTGCCTCAACTACCAAGAGGCCATCTACCCCCCATGGCCCAGCCCAGAGGCCAGGAGGCAGAAGGGAGGCAAGAAAAGGGCTTTTCCAGCCTCATGGTTATGGCATTTGCACCAGCAGCCAGAGAAGCCCTGGGGAAGGGGGAGAGCTTCATCTCTGCTCTCTTTATCATTCTATTAAATACAGGAGCTGCTCTGCTGAGCCCAGGAGAGGTCTAGATATTCATAAAAGCACAACTCTGTGCATGCAGAACGCTCACGGACATGACTCCAAGGCAAGCAGGCAGCTGTAGACAAGTTTAAAATAACTTCGGCTGTGGTTGCCAAGAATTAAGACTAAGCTCAATATAGGAGAGAATTTATCATCACAGGATTGGGCTGTGAGTCTGCTTTCTCCCAGCAGCAGGGCCTCCCAGCTCTGTAGGGTAATATTAACCTGTGGGAGATGGGGCTGCGCCTGGTGGGCTTGCTCCCCTTGCTTGGAGAGAGGAGACCCCTTGAGAAGGGACAGGCTGGCATGGAGGGGGTAAGGGCTCAGCACCTCTGCCCAACGCCCATCAGGATGTGTAGAAAAGAGACACTTCTTCAGCCTCTTCCCCTCCTCTACACCCCTCGCCCCACAGCGCTTCAAGCAGAGAGCAGAATGGGAATCAATTCATGGTGCTCCCCCAGGGCTCACGGTGCTGGGGGGGAGCCGATGCCAGCATCAGACAGGGCTGAAACGCTAAACACAAGCCTTTAGCTTTTCTTTCAACAGAACACAAGACAAATGCGGAGGTTATAAACACCATCCAAGAATATCGGCCAAACTAAATGTGCTGCAGGCAGCCAGGAGGTGGAGGGGCCAGATGGCCCTGGCACTCCTCAGTCCAGGGAAGGTCCCCGTGCATCACTCCTGCAGTCCCCTGCCACAGCTCCCCCCCATCCTGTGATGGGCAGGGGCAGGATTTATGTGCCCACTGCAGGCAGGAGTCCCTGTCCTGCTCTGGCCGGTCCTCTACAGCCAGTGCTCAGGGAGCTGAGCGATGCCAGTGAGGAGGAGGGAAAGGGAGGCCTTCCAAGAGAAGGGCGGTCAGCCTATGCCAGCCATCTGCCATCAGAGACCAGGAGGTGACAGAGGCAGCCCTGAGCACCGTGGGGCAGGGAGGCCCTGCTGTCCCCGAGGTGACACAGCGTGCTGGCACCCGCAAGCCCTGGGGAAAGTAGTCTCTCCTCTGCCCTGTCTCCCACCCAAGAGACCACTGAGGCACCGAGTTGTGCAGTGCACTGGGGCAGCAGCTCCCACTCCCTGTGAACAGTCACCTACACACACACGCAGCCATGGGCAAGAGGCCACCGCCATGCACTGCGGTCTCAGAGGAGATGTCCAGAGCAAGGAGGGCAGGAGTGCCTCCAGCACCCCACCGAGCCGCAGTCCACAGAGGACCACCCAGCCACCGCTGACTCTTACTTTAAACAGCTCTGCTCAACTTATTCTAGCTTATCCTACTGCACGCACTATTCTCCTACTAAACAAAGCTCTAGCCCTCTCTGCATCTTAGCCACTTGCTTGAGCGGCACCACATAGCGCTCTCTGGTTAAGTAGAAATTGCATGGAAAAAGCATTTTCTTCCTTCTGAAATTACAAAAAAAAATAAAAAAAACAAAACCAAACCAAAAAAACCCCACAACACCCCAACTGGAAAATACCCTTCTCCCCTGCCCTCGTTAAAAATAAAAAACCACAGAACAAACCCAAAAGGGGAAGCAGGTGACAGGAGTTTTCAATAGGACCATCAAGCTTAATGG